AAACCTCCTTCCATCAGCAAGGGCATTGCAGATGAAATGTGGCTGGGTCATCCAATATGACAATGATCCCAAACATACCGCCCGGGCAACGAAGGAGTGGCTTCGTAAGAAGCATTTCAAGGTCCTGGAGTGGCCTAGCCAGTATCCAGATCTCAACCCCATAGAAAACCTTTGGAGGGAGTTGAAAGTCCGTGTTGCCCAGTGACAGCCCTAAAACATCACTGCTCTAGAGGAGATCTTCATGGAGGAATGGTCCAACATACCAGCAACAGTGTGTGCCAACCTTGTGAAGACTTACAGGAAATGTTTGACCTCTGTCATTGCCAACAAAGGATATATAACAAAGTATTGACATGAACTTTTTTATATTGACCAGATACTTATTTTCCAAAATAATTTGCAAATAAATTCTTTCCAAATCAGCCAATGTGATTGTCTGGATTTGTTTTCTCATTTTGTCTCTCATAGTTGAGGTCTACCTATGATGCCAATTACAGGCCTCTCTCATCTTTTTAAGTGGGAGAACTTGCACAATTGGTGGCTGACTAAATACTTTTTTGCCCCACTGTATATGTGCTGTGTGTATATCTGTTGTTTGCTGCTTTTTGTAGTTCTCCTTGCTCAAAAATGTCTGCTCAGCAACCCCTCCCATCGAGTGAACTTGAGAACAAAGAAAATATTTCTTTCCAAGATAAGACTTAGAAGAAGATCACACCCATATTCTGAAAGAAGATTGTTTTCGTGTAAAATGACCAATCAAAGACTAATATAATGCTAATTCTGCTCTCACGTGATTTTTGCACCATCTTGCATATATAAACTCACTTTTTCATTCCAATAAATTAGAAGTATTCACAAACTGAACTCGTGTGTCAGTGTGGGTTTTCTTCAAGTGCCCACTGCAGAGCTAGCGGTGATTAATTAGGACAGGAACAGATAATCACCGGACACTTAGGCCGCACTAAATCACAAGATGCTTGTTATTTCCTAGGCTTTTTCATATCAGTTTTTATGAACTGTATGTAGATTTTTAAAAACTGTGATTTTAGGAGGAGCCATTTGCAGGTCAAGAAACCGAGGCTGTCAGTATACGGTAGGCTTTACCATCGATTAACCCTGTGCAAGGGGTTTTGTATCCTTAAAGTGGTTCTAAAAGCTGAATGTTTTTTACCTTCATGCATTCTATGCATAAAAGTAAAAATCTTCTCTGTGCAGCATCCCCCCCCCCCCAATACTCGCCTAAGCTCCCTCTCGATCCAGCGATGTGCACTGGAGTCTCGGCTATCCTGGGACTCCCTCTCCTCATTGGCTGAGACAGATGTGGGAGCCATTGGCTCCGACTGCTGTCAATCACAACCAGTGAGCCAATGAGGATTGAGGGGGCGGGGTCACATTGTGGCTTCATGTGTGAATGGATATACGGAGCAATGGGTGCCCCCATAGTGAGCTGCTTGCTGTGGGGGCACCCGACAGGAAGGAGGGGCCAGGAGCACCAGCGGGGGACCCAAGAAGAGGAGGATCCTGGTTGCTCTGTGCAAAACCACTGCACACAGTAGGTAAGTATAGACATGTTTGTTATTAAAGAAAAAAGCCTTTAGAATCACTTTAAGCCTGGTCAAGGCTGCTACTAGATTATTTTGCGCCCTAGGCAAGACCAGCTACACTTGCACCCCCCCCCCCAAAAAAAAACAAAACAAAAATTAAAACAGTAGAAAATACTGAATTAAAAAAAAAAGAAATCTGCTAGATTTCTTTTAATTTGAAAAAATAAGTGCCATAAAATGCCACCATCGCCAATATTAAGAACAAAAAATAGTCTCGGATGGACTGTATCTGTGGCTGGCAGTGGCAGGGTGACAGTTGCAGTGAGTGAAGGATGATGGATTCACACTCTGACAGATCCCAGGCAGGAATTCCCAAAGCAATGGAGGGAGATAAAATGCTGTGACAGCAGGCAGCTGAACTAAGAGATCCCACACAGTGACAGATCAGACACAACACATCACCACCAACACTGACGGTTCACACTCATACAGACATGAGACAGCAGAGTCAGACATTACCTTCCTCTGCAGACACAGCTCCACCCCCACAGATGAATGGGAAGAGAAGAGATGGAACTCCACAGTGATCAGCAGCCTGCAGTCGGTTTGCAGTAAGGAATTGAGTCTGAGAGGAACACTGGAAGAAGTGGCAGCTCAGCTGCTACACTGGCCCCAGACACCTGGCATCTTCCTCTGTCCTTTCCTCCTCCCCTCTGTCGCCCCTCCTCTCAGCTGAAGAATCATTCATGATGTGGCGGCATCCTACACAGGGAGAGTGCTGGCCTATACTGCGCCAAGGCACCCCTAGGTGGCAGTGTGCCGTAAGCAGCCGCCTAGTTTGCTTAGTGGAATCCCTGAGCCTAGTACACACAATTTTTTTTTCGCTCAACCTAGCGGGCTGAATGAAAAAAAGCTTACAGATCATTGTACTAACACATCTGATGTTAGTGCAATGATCTCCCTGCTGAGCTCTTGTGTTCTGACAGGGGGACTGCCCCCCTGCTAGGATGCTAGGATTTGTATATATAGGATAAGTATAACTGTGTTTCTCTGCCTAACAGAGAGGCTGTTAGGTAAATTTGGTTTGGTATTCTGCTTAACTGAGTGCTGTAATTGATTAGTCAGGTCTGCTCATGAAGCTCTGATGCTGTTTAAATTTGTCTTGAGCTCCACCTACCTTCAGGAAGCTATGAGAGCTTTACAAAACATAGGTAGAGGCTAATCAAATGAACAGCATGAACAGGAATACAGCCCTGGCCAATTGTAAGGGAGGGTGGCTCCATTTCATCCTGGGTGTGGTATTTATGTTCTGTGAACACATGGGTTCAACGTCTTTCCCTGGAGTGGATTGCACCATGCCAGGCTGAAGGTAGGCTTGCCTTGCCTGGCACTTGTTGCCATGAGGCCTCAGGTGGGTGACCTGAGGACCTGAAATAAGAAATAGTGACCCTGGTTCTACAGTAAGCAGAATGAGGGTAGCAGTCTGCCAAAGATCTGTCTTGCATCACTGGAGAGAGTTGCTTGGAAGATTGGAAGGAGGATGCAATTCTGTCCTTGGACTTGTGAGTACAGACACTGAGAGATCTTGGGGACTCAGTGTGATTTGCTACCCCTCTGGTGCTTGATAGTCAGTGTGGGTTTGAGAAAAGGGAACACTGGCTGGTGTTCTGAAGAGCTTGTCCAACTGTTGCTACTGCATGAATTTTGCTCACTCCTAGACTACTTCAATCTAAAGAGAAGTCTGCTATCTGCTTTCAGCCAGGACTTCAAGAATGCTCAATTAAGAAATCAGCTAGATGTCCTCATTTGTGAATAGTTCTAATTTTGGAGTATCCTATTGAATTCTCAATCCCTATCTCCAGTTCTTCAATACAACTTCAAAAACAACATCCCCTAGGCTTGTCATTGAAGACAATGAGCAAATGTGTGTGTGTACCTGGAGGATGGAAAATAATTTGTGCCTGGCTGCGGGGCAAAGCAAGGGGAGACCTGCGCAAAAACACAAGCAGCTGTCAGGAATGGACTTGCCAGTAATGGTGGGACCCACCTGCCTTGTGGGCTGCAGTACCAGGGCTGGCCAGCGGGTGCTCCCGGCAATCAGAGACTCAACCCTGCAGCCAGCCAAACACCTGAAGTTGATCATGCAGGTGTATTTAAGGGATGGCCAGACCTGCAGTCTCTGCCTTGGTGTGTGTTTTTTTTCTGGGCCCTGTATCTTGTTCCTGCATTCCTATTCCTGTTCCTGTCCCTGTCTCTGTCTGATTCGTTGCTGACCCTGCCTGATCCGGACCTCTGCTGACTTCTCCTGTTTGATCCCTGGCTTGTGACCCCGACCATTCTCTGCCTGACCCCCTGTACCTACCTGCCCGTTAGTTGCTGTACCCGGCTCGTGACCTGACTACTCTCTGCCTGCTCCTCCTGTACCTACCTGCCCGATTGTTATTGACCCGGCCTGCCTGATGGCGCTTGCATTATATGTACTGTTATCTGTGGGTGGTTTGGTTTGGTTCATTTGCACTGTGTTATGTTTTAGTATTGCACTGCGTTTATGTTTGTATTGTTAGTCTTTAATAAATTATATTGTTTATAACTTATCTGAAGCCTGCGTTTCCCTGCGTCAGTCACATACCTCTGGTCACACCCCGGAGCCCTGACATTACACCAAGGCCAATCCTGACCAGAAGTGGCTGCTCAGGGAAGCCATCTTGGCTTGTTGCTGGGAAGGATGGATCTTGATGAGGTTGTGTATTTATCTCTGCTAGTGTTTGATGACAGAGAGTATGCTTATCAGACTCTGAAGGAGTATCCCCGGGATCAACTACTAGAATGTATACGGATCGCTCATTGCCTAGTAGATCAGGGCACAGAATTCTCTGAGGTGCAGCCATTGATTCAGGTTTGTGCTGAGTTGGTTTCATCTGGTACCCCCGAATGCAGGGATGAATTTTTGCCGCCATTTAGTGCCGACCAGGTAGAGTCCCTGGTATGGTTATTAGAGGATGATGTGGATTACTTTCTGGAGCGTTATTCTGCATGTTCACCACAGATACTAAGAGATTGTATAAGTGCAGTCATTGACCAGACAGGCTTTGTGTAAGCTGAGCTTTGTTCAACCCATACTGCAGACATGGTCAGACTTATTGCACCCAGCCTCAGTCAGCTTACAACATCATTCCTCCGCTCAAGGCACTCTTCCTGCATCCCCGACAGCACCCCCAGTGACGGCCCAGTATACTCTAACTATCACATACCAGTCCCCTCTGCTCCCACTCGCTGCACCTATCCTTTTTTTAACCCGTAAAGAAGTCCTCTGTAGCAACTGCTCCCTCCTCTGTTCCATCTTCCAGCTCTTCTCTGTCCTCAGCTGCTCCATTCATTTGCAGACCTGCGTTTACTTGCAGTGCCCCAGTAGTTAAAACCAGAAAAAAGCGGAAATTCTTTCCAACCAGTACCATCCTGCCAGTATCCAAACCAGAGAACCTGCCTTCCGTGGTTCAGCCTGGTGCCTCGGCACCCGCACTTCAGCCTGATGTCTGTACCCAGCCTGATGTCTGTACCCAGCCTGATGTCTGTACCCAGCCTGATGAACTGATCCAGCCTGATGATCCTATCACGCCTGATGACCCAGTGCCCGCTGTCGAGCCAGACGATCCGGTACCTGATGACCTGGTGCCCACTGTCATGCCTGTTGACCCGATGCCCACTGTCGTGCCAGACGATCCAATGCCTGATGACCCAGTGCCCGCGGTCATACCTGGTGACTCGATGCCCGCTGTCGAGCCAGACGATCCAATGCCTGATGACCCAGTGCCCGCTGTCATGCCTGGTGACCCGATGCCCGCTGTCGAGCCAGACGATCCAGCGCCAGATGACCCGGTGCCCGCTGTCGATCCAGACGATCCGGTACCTGATGACCCAGTGCCTGTTGTCATGCCTGGGGACCCGATGCCCGCTGTCGAGCCAGACGATCCAGAGCCAGATGACCCGGTGCCCGCTGTCGTGCCAATTGACTCAGAGTCCACTGTTGTGCCTGGTGACTCGGTGCCCACTGCCTTGCCAGATGACGCGGTGCCCCGCTGTCGAGCCAAATGACCTGATGCCTGGTGACCCGATGCCCGCTGTCGAGCCAGACGATCCAATGTCTGACCCAGTGCCCGCGGTCATGCCTGGTGACTCGGAGCCCACTGTCATACCTGGTGACCCGATGCCCACTGTCGAGCCAGACAATCCAATGCCTGATGACCCAGTGCCCAGTGCCCGCTGTCATGCCTGGTGACCCGATGCCCGCTGTCGAGCCAGATGATCCAATGCCTGATGACCCAGTGCCCGCGGTCATGCCTGGTGACCCGATGCCCGCTGTCAAGCCAGACGATCCAGCGCCAGATGACCCGGTGCGTGCTGTCGAGCCAGACGATCCGGTACCTGATGACCCGGTGCCCGCTGTCGTGCCAATTGACTCAGAGCCCACTGTCGTGCCTGGTGACTCGGTGCCCACTGCCTTGCCAGATGACGTGGTGCCCGCTGTCGAACCAAATGACCTGATGCCTGGTGACCCGATGCCCGCTGTCCAGCCAGACGATCCAATGTCTGACCCAGTGCCCGCGGTCATGCCAGTTGACTCGGAGCCCACTGTCGTGCCTGGTGACTCGGTGCCCACTGCCTTGCCAGATGACGCGGTGCCCACTGGCGAGCCAAATGACCTGATGCCTGGTGACCCGATGCCCGTTGTCATGCCTGATGACCCGGTGCCCGCCGCTCCGCCTGGGGGCCCGGTGTCTGCCGCCCCTCCTGGGGGCCCGGCGCCCCGCCGCCCCCCGCATGAGAGCCCGGCGCCCGCCGCCCCGCCTGAGGGCCCGGCACCCGCCGCCCCGCCTGGGGGCCCGGCACCCGTCTCCCCGCCTGGGGGCCCGATGCCTGTCGCCCCGCCTGGGGGCCCGATGCCTGTCACCCTGCCTGGGGGCCCGATGCCTGTCGCCCCGCCTGGGGGCCCGCCGCCCCGCCTGAGGGCCCGATGCCTGTCGCCCCCGCCTGGGGGCCCGGCGCCCGCCTCTCCGCCTGGGGGCCCGGCGCCCGTCACCCCTCCTGGGGGCCTGATGCCTGTTGCCCCGCCTGGGGGCCCGATGCCTGTCGCCCCGCCTGGGGGCCCAATGCCTGTCGCCCCTCCTGGGGGCCCGGTGCCTGCTGCTCCGCCTGGTGGCTCGGTGCCTGCTGCTCCGCCTGGTGATCCGGAGTCCTGCCCGATGTGCCGCTGCCCGGAATCCTGCCCGATGTGCCGCTGCCCGAAATCCTGCCCGATGTGCCGCTGCCCGGAGTCCAGCCCGATGTGCCTCTGCCCGGAGTCCAGCCCGGTGTGCCTCTGCCCGGAGTCCAGCCCGGTGTGCCTCTGCCCGGAGTCCAGCCCGTTGTGCCTCTGCCCGGAGTCCAGCCCGTGTGCCTCTGCCCGGAGTCCAGCCCAGTGTGCCGCTTCCCGGAGTCCAGCCCAGTGTGCCGCTTCCCGGAGTCCAGCCCGGTGTGCCGCTGCCCGGAGTCCTGCCCGGTGTGCCTCTGCCCGGAGTCCAGCCCGGTGTGCCTCTGCCCGGAGTCCAGCTTGGTGTGCCGCTGCCCGGAGTCCTGCCCGGTGTGCCGCTGCCCGGAGTCCTGCCCGGTGTGCCTCTGCCCGGAGTCCAGCCCGGTGTGCCTCTGCCCGGAGTCCAGCCCTGTGTGCCGCTGCCCGGAGTCCAGCCTGGTGTGCCGCTGCCCGGAGTCCTGCCCGGTGTGCCTCTGCCCGGAGTCCAGCCCGGTGTGCCGCTGCCCGGAGTCCAGCCCGGTGTGCCGCTGCCCGGAGTCCTGCCCGGTGTGCCTCTGCCCGGAGTCCTGCCCGGTGTGCCTCTGCCCGGAGTCCTGCCCGGTGTGCCTCTGCCCGGAGTCCAGCCCTGTGTGCCGCTGTCCGGAGTCCAGCCCGGTGTGCCTCTGCCCGGAGTCCAGCTCAGTGTGCCTCTGCCCGGTGTGCCGGTGCCCGGAGTTCTGCCCGGTGTGTGCCGCTGCCCGGAGTCCTGCCCGGTGTGCCGCTGCCCGGAGTCCTGCTCGATGTGCCTCTGCCCGGTGTGCCGCTGCCCGGAGTCCTGACCGGTGTGCCGCTGCCCGGAGTCCTGCCCGGTGTGCCACTGCCCGGAGTCCTGCCCGATGTGCCAGTCTTTGATATCCCGCCAGTTACCAGACCCGGGCGGTGGAACATTTTGCCCAGCTAGGACTGTTTGGAGCGTCCTGAAGCCGCTCCTTGAGGGGGGGTACTGTCAGGAATGGACTTGCCAGTAACGGTGGGACCCACCTGCCTTGTGGGCTGCAGTACCAGGGCTGGCCAGCGGGTGCTCCCGGCAATCAGAGACTCAACCCTGCAGCCAGCCAAACACCTGAAGTTGATCATGCAGGTGTATTTAAGGGATGGCCAGACCTGCAGTCTCTGCCTTGGTGTGTGTTTTTCCTCGGCCCTGTATCTTGTTCCTTCATTCCTGTTCCTGTTCCTGTTCCTGTCCCTGTCCCTGTCTCTGTCTGATTCATTGCTGACCCTGCCTGATCCGGACCTCTGCTGACTTCTCCTGTTTGATCCCTGGCTTGTGACCCCGACCATTCTCTGCCTGACCCCCTGTACCTACCTGCCAGTTAGTTGCTGTACCCGGCTCATGACCTGACTACTCTCTGCCTGCTCCTCCTGTACCTACCTGCCCGATTGTTATTGACCCGGCCTGCCTGACGGCGCTTGCATTATATGTACTGTTATCTGTGGGTGGTTTGGTTTGGTTCGTTTGCACTGTGTTATGTTTTAGTATTGCACTGCGTTTATGTTTGTATTGTTAGTCTTTAATAAATTATATTGTTTATAACTTATCTGAAGCCTGCGTTTCCCTGCTTCAATCACATACCTCTGGTCACACCCCAGAGCCCTGACAGCAGCTCCTCCAGGGGTAGCGCTAAATGTGGGGGTTCATCCGGAATTTGAACCCGGGACCTCTCGCAATGGTTGCTATGGGAAATAGAAGAGACTTTCAGTGTTGTTGTGAGTGCTGTATGCATTGCAGAGCGGCAATTGGGATGTCAGGTTGCAGGGAGTCAACTGGTGTGCTGGAAAGTGGCTGTGTCATGATTGAGAATGTCTGCTTTGCAGTAATAGACACTGCTAGGGCAGAAGCATTTTCAAGTGGCGGCAGCAGAGAAGCTAATGTGTGGCACAAGAGTGAGAGCACCAGTTAGGCTTCTCTGAGAGGAGACAGGATTGTGTTTGCTGGAGTTGCCATAAGAGGTGGTGAACTTCCAGCATGGCTGACTGACTGTGCATTTGATCTGCCATGGGAGTCTGGCCTTGTGCAGCGGAGAAGACAGAGACAGCCTGGGACTGGTATGTAGCAGATGCCAATGTGTGACAGTGAAGCTGCATGCATGGGGCCAGTGTGGTCATTGCAGAGATGTTGCTGGATTGAGTGAATAGTGAAAGTCAGCCTAAATTAATACTAGTGAATTGGGAAACAAGGTTCAGCACAGAAGCACCGCTTTCTGCAGCTGCCCGCTCAGCTCCCAGGGGAGACAGTGATGTAAGATGGATGCCACTGGAGTCAGGACCAGTAGTACATACCCACACTACTATCTGCCAGACCAGGGAGGCTAGCATTGTCTCTGTGCGAGACACACACCCAGTTAAGGCTGAACAGCAACAAGTTGCATCAACAGCAGTTGGCATTAGTCACTCACAAGTGGAGACCCAAGTCACAACAGCCTACAGAGTGCAGAGGTTAGCATCCTCAGGCTGTTCAGGAGAGGAGGTGCCAGGAGCTATTGATTCATGGTCACCCAGGTTTCATTACCATTATGGATCCCTGGAAGAAGGGATAGGAGATTGGGAACCAGTTGAGGTTCCATGAGACTGCAGAGGAGAAGGGCTCCCAGTGTTCTGACTTATTTGATGAGGAAAAAGGAAGATGCTATTTATTCTTGTCCAATGTGCAAGGAACCTTGGATTTTGGGAGGCCTGTGCAAACAGGACGCCTGATCTGTTTCCTCCTAAAAGTTACACTCAGGTTCGAGCTGAGAATATGGTGTACAGCATCCTTATAGAAAAGGTCATAACCCCATATGCACCACCTGGAAAAGGTGACAGGCAGAAGTTACCAAGATTCTCTTGCCTCCAGCACATCATGCAACGGAAAGTGGCTTGGAAGAAATAGAGTCCAAGAGGGATTTGTGGTGTGATGTAGCAGTATGGGACTTTATGCATATTCCCAAGCCCCTGCAACAGATCTAAACCTCCACTCTGGGAGGAGTTTCAATCTGTCAAGGGGAACTGGAGTTTGGAAAGGTCTATTTTCATTGACAGAGTAATGATTAACCTAGCCGGAAGCCGGAGTCAAGTGTGGGCCATCAATGTCTGGGGCCCTGATGGAAAAATGATTTGGATACCATACCCATATTTCTACTGTTGAGAAACATTATTTAGAATCTTTGTTCAAAAGTTGTTGTTACCAGAGGGCAATCCCTCTATTTCCAAATCCCCTTTTCTTCTATACTTGCCAATTAAAAAATGTTTCACCTGGGGATTGCTGCTGTCTGCAGGAGAAAATGACTTCTCTCATGCAACACCAAGAACTAAAACCTGGAGGGGTTAAACCCCTAGTGCTCAGAGAACTCTTTGTGAAGACATATGACCAAATAGCCACTGCGTTTTCCAAGTCAAGTTTATGTGGGTTGCTGTTCTGGCAAAAAAAGACAGCTGCTCACTTCTGTTCTACTCAAGTGCAGGAGGAAAGACTTTCTACTAAAAGTTATTTCAAGTTCTTCATTCAAGTATTAACTGAACTGTAGTCCAATGCAGGGGCTCATTAACAGAGACTCCTTCAAGAAATGATGTCTACCCAGCAGGGGAAGGATACCTTGCCAAGTTCTATGGAATCCTGGCCTAAGGACAAAAGCTCTTGATTCCAAGCTCTTTTTTGAAAGGACACTTTGCAAAGACCTTTTATTGCTGGACACTTTACGGAGATCTGCTATTGCTGGATACTTTGTGAATATTCTTGTTATTGGACACTTTGGGAAGATCTTTGCTGTGAAGTTGTTCTACCTAGTGGGGGGGGGCTTTACTCAGTTTTTATTGCCACTTTTCCTCTTAGGAGAGGATGTTCCTACGCCTAGTTTGTATATAGGATGTGTAATGTGTACATATGTGTTCTCTTTTTCCCTTCCTGCAGGACTGCAAGGAACTACTTTGCCTACACTTCATTGTAATATTTTGAGTATTGTTGATACTGTCTAAAGTTTGTTAGATAGCTTAGGGTATAGTTAGGTATGTGTTTGTTCCACCCCACCAATTATTTCTATTTTTGGCAAGGAGTGCACATAAAAGCTTCACTTGGTAGGGCTCTACCTAA